AAACAACCTCGCGGGATCGCGAAGGCAGGTGGGGAGGATACTGCTAAGAGCCAAGCAACCCCCGAGATCCCCAGCAAACCCCATCAGCAGCGCAGCGGCACGGAACTCGTCTCCCTCCCGGTGCTCAGAAAGAACCCGCGTGACGGGCACCCTGACCTCGGGCTTCCAGCGGGCAGAGCGGCGACGGCCAGTTTCTGTTGTTTAATCCACCTGCTTTGGTCGATTGCAGCAGCAGCCCCCAAAACTATGCAATAGGCAAAAGCACGCCGAGGCAGTGGGAGCGACGGGCCTACCGTGGGAGGTGGGCGAGGGAGGGGTGCCGAGGCCTGGAGGGAGGTGCGCTCGGGTGGGGCGGCCGGGGCGGCTTCCCAGAGGAATGTGACGAGGGTGGGCCCTGAAGAAGGAGGGCAGGCTGGTCAGGCGGAGGAGTACGAGCCATTGGCACTCAAGACCGGCCAAACGTGGAAGAAAGAGGACACGAGACGTAAGACACGGCAGCGTGTGAGCCGGGTGAGGCTCAAGTCCCTCCGCGTGGCTGAAGCAGAGGGGGCGTGTGGAGTCCGGAGGAGGCAGGAGACACGGAACCAACGCTAGAAATGCAGAGCGCGGGAAAGGTCGTCGGGCACCGTGGGTATGACCGTGGCTTCCGTGGGAACCAGATCATTTTAAGTGCTGATTCTTCAAATATTAAAAAACAAATCCTGTTTAAATTCCTAGGACGATACGTTCCCTATGCAAGATGGAATTGAAGTCCGTAAATTACAGAAATGTTTTTCATGCTACTCATAAGGTTCACATTTTACAGAGAACCAGAACCAAAAATGGTGCATATTTTATACTCTTGAAAAGGAATAAACTCTCCTGATTCACCTAGAACAATCTGCAGGTCGGCTCTAAGAGCACTGGCTCTAGAGTCACTGCACCTGGCGCCAGGGCCTCGCCCTCCACGCTGCTAGCTGGGCAGCCCAGAGCAGACCCGCAGCAACTCATTTGCCTGTCTGTGATTTAGAAAGAATACTAGCTCCCTCCTTCTAGGGTTACTAAAATGATTAAATAAGATGCCAGTAAAATACCTGCATCCGTTTCCTAACGCTGTGTAGACAGGTGATGTGCAGCTTACTACACGCCTAACGGAGAGGTAAACATATTTTCCCTCGCAGCTCCGGAAGCCCACAGCTGAAGAGGCTCGCTGAGTAAAAGCAGGGTGTCAGCAGGGATGTGTCCCTTTCTGGAAACTCTGGAAAGAATCCATCTCCTTATCCTTTTCAGTTTCTAGAAATTGTCCATATTCTTGGCTTAAACGCTCGCTCCCATTGAAACGGATCAAACCAATTCTGAGCAGATAAAACCAGTTCTGCCAGAGAAAACCTGTTCTGCCTGCTCTCACCATTTAGGGTTTGCTGTTCTGAAATAGATGTTTCAAAAGAAGCTTACATACTGACATCTTCAGTTTTGTAGGATAACTTCCAATATTATTAAAGTGAAATTTTTGTGCCCATAACTTGATTGTTAACCATGATTTGATTGCTAAAAAAGAGGACTGTGCCTTTTGTATCTCAATAAAGTATTGTATCTCAAGTGGAAAAAAATTGTTGAAATATTTGATAAATAAGATGTAAATTTTTGACAGCTTCCTGTACCTGGGCATTGTGTTCACTATCGTGGTGGCACAGTAAGGCTCCCCTCCAGCAAGATGTCTATGCTTTATTCCCAGAATCCTTGAATTATTACTTCAAAAGGTAAAAAGGTGCTTTGCACATGTGATAGAGATTAAAGTCCTTAAAAAGGGAGTGTCTTTCCCAGTAGGAGTCAGGCAGCATTAGGAGGACTCAACCTGCTATAGTTGACTTTGAGCTTAGTTTGATCCATCCGGAAAAAAAAAAAAAGATAAAAGATAAAAAAGAAACAACAAATGTTGATGAGGATGCGGTAGGAAAAAAAAACAAAACCCCTCTAAGCTATCTCCCAAACAAGCAAGAAAAAACTTGTCATGAGGTGGACAATTTATCCGAGGTGCTTAAGGTTTAAGCAATTAGCCAAAAGAGCTCATGAAAAAAAAAATCCAGTAGCTAATTTAATATGGAAATGTAGAGTCAGCCAGTTCTGACTGGATCAGACCAGCTCAAACCAATTCTGAATGGCTCAAACTGGTTCTGACCAGCTCAGACCAGATCTAACCAGTTCAGACTGGTTTGAACTCATTCAGACCGATTCAAGCTGTGCTCAGACTGGATTATTGTCCAGTCCAAAAACGCTCATACCAGATCAAGCTGGTTCAGGCCAGCACAGATCAACCAGTTCAGAGTGCCTCAGACAGGATCAGACTGGCTCAAACCGGTTCATACCAGCTGTGTAACCTTGGTTCTGACTGGATCTAACCAGTTCAGACCTGACTGTAACCAGTCTGACTGGTTCTGACCAGCTCAGCATCTAACTGGCTCAGACCAGTTCTGACTGGCTCATACCAGTTCTGATGGCTCATACTGGTTCTGGCCAGCTCAAACCGGTTCAGACCAACTGGTTCTGACTGGATCTAACTGGCTCAGACCAGTTCTGACTGGCTCAGACTGGCTGTAACTGGTTCTGATGGGATCTGACTGGTTCAGACCTGATCAGGCTGATTCAAACCAGATTAAACTGGTTCTGTTTTAAAACTTTTTCATTTCTGAGAATAGGTTTGAGCCTACCAGAACTCCATTGAATCGGTCAGAACATATTTGAATGTGATTAGACCACTCTGACCCAGCCAGAACAGGCCAGACAGCCAGAAAAGGCTCGATCCAAGTTTTAGCCAGTCAGCTTTATTTGGTCACAACTGGTCTGAAATGGTTTTTATATTTTTCTCCGGTCAGAACCAGTTTTATCTGGTTTGGGCCAGTTTTATCTGATCAGAACTGGTTTGAACCTGCTTTCCAGTCGCAACTGTTTTGATTCTTTTTAACTACTGAGACTGGACCAAACCGGTTCTGACCAGTTCTGACTGGATGTTAAACTCTACACTGCCTTATTAAATAGCTACTGGATTTTTTTTTTTTTAATTATACAAGAGCTGGGGTATAGGCCAGAGGCGCAGGAAGGTGAGAGAATTCACCAGAGACAGAGTGGGGAGCAGAACAGGAGGACTGACTGAAAAACACTGCTGAGGGGAGCAGCGGGGAGACAGGAGAGTCTGCCGCGCCATGTGGAAATCTCCCTGGCCAGGATCTGAACCCGCCCTGCAGAGGCTGCGGACAGCTTCACAGCACTGCACTCAACCCGCCGCGCCGCCGGGGAGACCCACTGCTGGATTTTTAAATGAGCTCTTTGGGTGTGCCTGCCCCGTTTCCTTAGGCGACTTGAAAATCACAGGCAGTGGCGGTGACAGGGGGTAGAGCCACCTCCCTCCCCAGGCTGAGCCCAGCCTAGGTCAGAGGGGTGCACTGCCACGGGCCACCTGGGATTTATCAACTTTGTTCTTTCCCCCAAATCTTTCAGCTTTTCCCCCTGTAAGTGCTGTCACTTTCCATCTAGTGATTTCCTTCTACTTTCCTCCGATCTGGATAATTTATTTCCTATACATATTTTTAGCAATAAACTCTCCTCGGGTTACAGAGCTCCCTCTGGTTATATTCCATACATTTTCCATAACGTTATTTACCTTCGTGCTATTTTTCAGGTGATGGGAGTTTGTGTTTGAACTTGTTTGAAATTCAAACCTTACTTAAAACTGTCTCTTCACTTCTACATGGTTGTATGATTTTGGAGATCTTGTCAATTTCTAGACATCCCAATTTTAAGAAGCGGGCTTTGGGATGGCCTTGCAGCAGGGGTGTAGCTCCCCACTCTGCAAAGCCCTGGCGCCTGGGCCCCCTCGTCACCCACAGCCCCTCCACAACGCCCGAGGCTCGTGAGCTGTCCTCCACCGAACGCACGCCCCTGACCTGCCTTCTCTGCCTCTGGGATTTTATTTCAATCGAGCCTTACCTGCTGACTCGCTCTGGGGACCGGGAGGCTTCAGACTCTTCCTCAGCCCTCCCCTGCCCGCTCTGACAGGCACCCTTACTGTGTCTTGGGGTCACCAAGCTGGGCCAGTGGGGCCTGCCATCCCTGACCCACAGGAGGCTCAGCGTGCCGGCCACCCGCTGCCTCCTCCCTGGCCCCCGGCCACATGGTCTCGGTCCTTTGCTGCAGGAGCAGAGCAGCCCAGGGGCCCAGCTGAGGTCGGGGTGCAGGGGCGGGCCGGCCAGGCTGAGCGGAGGGGGTCAGGACAGAGGGCCCCAGGGCAGCCGCGGCCTGGCCGTGTGGGGGGCCCAGGGAAGGCGAGCGGGCCCAGGGGCACCTCGGGGCGGCAGGACCGGGCCAGGAGGAGGCCGCGCCCGGCGGCCCTGCAGGCTCGGGCACATGGACGCAGGTCCGCAGAGGGCAGCTGGAGGCCGCGCTCCGCAGGCGGGTCCTGCGGGCGCTCCCGCGGCGGGGCGTGCCAGGCGGCGGCCGGGGGCAGGCGGCGGGCGCCCACCGGGGAGAGCGGGCCTTGCTCCCGCCGCGCCGGCCGGGCCGCGGGGCCGCCGAACAGCCCGCGGCGAGCGCGGGGCGGCGCGGGGCGCAGTCGCGGGGCCGCCCCGGCTGCTGGGGGCGCGGGGCCGGCGGTCCGGGCTCGCGGCTCGCGGGGTCGACGCGCCGCCTTGTTCTTCCCTTCCCCCCCACCCTTCGCCGCACGCCAAGCGGCCGTCTCGGCGCATGCGCAGGGCGCGCCCCCGCGGGCGCCCGCCGGGCCGGCCGGTTGCCAGGGGCGACCGAGTCCCCGCGGCTCCGCCGGCGGCGGGGGCGGGGCGGGCTCCTCGGGGCCCGCCTCTCGCGCGCGCGGGTTGGCCAGCGCTGCTGTCCGTCGGGGCCGCCGCCGCCGCCGATTGGGCAGCAACAGGTGCCGCGCGCTGTCTCGGCGCCGCGCCCCCGGCCGCCCCGGGGCCCGCGCCCGGCGGGGCCCGCGCCCTGGAGGCTGCGCGCCCGAGCGGCGGGCGGCCATGACCCCCGAGGAGGGCGGCCGGGCCGCCGGCCGGGAGGGTGCGCCGCCGCGGGCGGTCGGCGGCGACGGCAAGGTGGGTGCGGCCTCCAGGCGGGGCGGGGAGCCCCGAGGGGTCCCGGACCCCGCCCCTGCCGCCGCCTGCCCGGCCGCTCCGGGTGCGCCGCGCGCGTCGGGACCCCGGGCCGCTCGCTGCCCCGTCGCCTGCCGAGGGGCCCGCCGGGCTCACCGCTGCGGAGACTGAGGCTCTGCGGAGCAGGGGCGCCCGCGCGGGCTCCCCTCTTGTTTGTGGGGTCCCATGGGGGGGCGGAGCCCGGCTCGCGCCGCCCCGCCGAGGGAGGGGCAGGTCGAGCCCAGTGCTTCGCCCCCGGCCCTCCCCCGCCGGTCCGCGACGGCCGGGCCCCGGGCCCAGCGCTCGGGTGTTCCTGGCGCCTGTGGTTCCCCCTCGCTTTTCTCGGGGCTGCTCAGCCTGCCTGGGGCACAGCCCTGCGCGCGGGGGCTCCCCCCGGCTGGCGCTGCAGCGCCCGGGGCCGGGACAGGGGTGGAGGACCCGCCGCGGGCCTTGTCCTTTTTGGAGCCTCCGCCGGGTCCTGCGTCCCTGACCCCGGACTCCCGACTGCTGCAGCGATGCCTGGGGTGGAGGGGCGCCGCTGTGGCTGTCCCGGGCTTGCTGGCAGGCAGTTGGCACGGTTTGCACCCACATCCCCAGGGACCCTCAGTCCAGGGAGTGAGAGAGCCACTCTTGCCCCTGCCCCTCCCCGGCCACTCCCTCGGAGGGCGGCTGCTCACCCTCCCTGGAGAGGCTTCCGTGTGGGGGGCCCTTGTCCAGGGGAGGAGGCGGAGGCCGGGGGACGTGGCTGCAGGGACTTGGCAGCTGCACTGCCATGCACTGGTGCGGGGAGGCTGGCCCTGCCCGCTGAGGCCTTCCTTGCAGGTGGGCAGCGGCTGTGAGGAGCCTGTGGCCCAGCTTTTTGACCTTGGCCTGGGGTCTCCCCCTGGGACGGGGCAGCATCTCTCTGGGGTGACCCAGCAGTCAGAGAATCTGCACCTCTGAGGAGGGGCTGGGCACCCCGGGCAGGGAGGCGGTGTGCTGGTGGGCGAGCTGGCTGCCGGTGTCACCCCCTCCCGGCCGGGCAGATCCCGGCCCACGGGACTGGCCCGCCTTCTCTCGGGTCTCACCTCCACACCTGCCGCCTCCTTCCTGGCCTGAGTGTCCCCAGCCGCCTGCCCACCACCGCCTGCTGTGTGGTCTCAGGTCCAGCGGTCACCAGGCCCTCCCTGCTCCCCGCACGGCCTCCACCCCTCCCCTTGGTCCAGGGCCACCCAGCCCCAGGGCTCTGCCCTGAGCGCCAGGCGAGACAGGGCCCATCCATCCCCACAGGACTGTGACCTCCTGGCGCGGACGCCTTCGCTGGGTCCCGTGCAGAGCCTCAGGGCCCAGATCCACCAGCAGATCAACAAGGAGCTGCGCATCCGGGCGGGTGCTGAGAACCTCTACAGGTGGGCCCGGCAGGGGGCGTGGACAGGGCCAGGTGCATGAGCAGCAGAGCGTCCCCAGGAGGCGCCATCCCAGCTGAGCTCAGCGGGGCGGGCGTCCCCAGCACCCTGGCCATGAGCACAGACCCCCACCCCGCGCCTCCACAGCCCCTCCTGGTGAGGCCTGTGCGCCAGGACAGGGCTCCGCGGGGCCTACAGAGTCCCCCTGGCCTTCCTGGGGACCCACTGGCCCCTCCATCAGGCCCAAATGCATGCAAAAGGCCAGAGCGCGGCCCCCGTCCATCTGGTCGCTGTGGAGGGCAGTGGCCGAGGGCGCCAGGACACCTGCAACTCAGGCGCTCTGCGGGCCTGGGCCAGTGGCTCCAGAGCTCAGGCAGCTGGGGCGGCGGGAAGCCAGGCCCTCCGTCCCCCTGCCTGTGGCCTTCACCACAGCCCGGTCCCCCCAGAGCCACCAGCAATGCCCGCGTCAGGGAGACGGTGGCCCAGGAGCTGCGCTACGTCAACTGCAGCCTGCAGCTGCTGAAGGAGGAGCTGGAAGAGCTGGGCCGCGAGGACGGGCCCCCGCCCCAGGGGTGTGTGAGGAAGGCCGGGCCAGCGGCCCCGGGCACGCGGAGGAGGCCGGCCTGGGCGGGTGGACCCCAGGGCCACTGGACGCAGCCTGACCAGGCACTTCTGGTTCCAGTGAAGGCGCCGCCGTCCCCATGATCCCCCTGGGGCTGAAGGAGACCAGGGAGCTGGACTGGTCCACGCCCCTGAGAGTGAGTGTTCGGTGCGTCCTGCCACGAAGCGGGGGTTGGCACTTGGCAGCTCTAGTTTGGCCATTTCGTTGAAGAGACGAGGAAACTGAGGCTGCGAGGAAGGAAGGGCCTGATCTGGGGCCCTCCTGGCTGAAGGGGATTCTGGGGGTGGGCTTTGGAGAGGCGCCCCGGGATGGATGTGAGCACTGGCTGCCCTACTGGGCCCCCGAGACGGTGACAGCCTCGACTCTCACTCAGGTCCTGCTGGCTGGGGTGCCGCCTCCCACTGAGGCTGCGCGGGGGCCCTGGCAGGGCCTGGTGAGCAGCCGAAGGGCCAAGGGGGCTGGAGCAGGGACAGCGTGGGGCCCCCCAGCCCTTCTCAGGGCCAGGGCCTTCCCCCTCAGACCCCCTCTGGGGGAGACACCAGAGAAAGCCAGCACCTGCCCCCCATCAGGAGCTGATCTCGGGGCACTTCGGAGAAGACGGCGCCTCCTACGAGGCAGAAATCAGGGAGCTGGCTGAGCTGCGGCAGGTGGGCCCTCCTGCCCCCCCCCCGGGAGATGGGCCACCCCAGCTCCCCCGACTGCCAGCCACCCACACCCCCTCCCCAGGGCCCCGGCTGTCCCTCCCTGCACCCTTCAGCCTCCTGGGGCAGCGGGCGGGGCCCACCCGGCCCAGGGGAGGCTGCCCCACGCTGGGCTCCCGGGGTGGGAGGGCCGCGGGTGGGCGGGCCAGTGGGGCCCAGCAGCTCCTGCGCCGCAGGCCATGCAGACCCCCAGCCGGAGCGAGGGGGGCCTGCGGCTGCTCTCCACCTACTACACCCAGCTGAGCTTCCTGGACGCCCGCTTCGCCGCCCCCAGCAGGAGCCTCGGGCTGCGCTTCCACTGGTACGCGGGCCGCCCTGGCCACCCCCCGGCGGGGCCATCCCCGGGGCGAGGCGGCCCCAGCCCAGCTGCTGCACCCGCAGGTACGACTCGCTCACCGGGCTCCCGGCTCAGCAGCAGGCTCTGGCCTTCGAGAAGGGCAGCGTGCTCTTCAACATCGGCGCCCTGCACACCCAGATCGCCGCCCGCCAGGACCGCTCCAGCCCCGCGGGCGCCCGCCGAGCCGCAGAGGCCTTTCAGCAGGCGGCAGGTGGGGCCCGCCCTGAGCCCCGCTCCAGAGCCCCAGGCCCCGCCCCGGCGCAGGGTGCACCAGCTGCGTGGGCCTTGCTCCTAGGGACCCCTTCCCTGGGACAGGCGGGATGCTCGGGGTGCTGGGCCCTCTGGGGGAAGGGTGCCGCCTGAGGGGGAGGGGAGGCAGCCGCCCCAGTGATGCGCTGCGCCCTCCCGGCAGGAGCCTTCGGCCTCCTGAGGGACAACTTCTCCCACGCGCCGAGCCCGGACATGAGCCCCGCCTGGCTGGCCTTGCTGGAGCGGCTGATGTTGGCCCAGGCCCAGGAGTGCGTCTTCGAGGGCCTGGTGCTGTCCGCCCCCGCGGACCCCCACGATGGCCCGGCCCAGCTGCGCCTGGCTCAGGAGGCCGCCCAGGTGAGGGCAGCGCCCCTGTCCTAGGAGAGGCCCTTAGAGCATCTGGGGCCACGTGTACCCACTGGCCACGCATGGTGGGCAAGGCCCTCGCGTGGGGCTGGGGTGCAGGGGGCAGGGAGGCGCGCCTGGGGAGGACGGGAGCCTTGCTGTTTCGCCCATGGGTCCCTGTGGGGCGGGCAGGACCCTTGGCGAGGAAGGGCCGAGGCGGAGTTGCCGGGGAGCCCTCCCGAGGCCCACCGTCCTCCCCGCGGCGCCCGCAGGTGGCAGCCGACTACGGCCTTGTGCACCAGACCATGGCCCAGGGGCCCGTGCGCGACCACGCGCCCCCGTCCTGGACCACCCTGGCGCTCGTCAAGGCCGAGTACTTCCGCGCCCTGGCCCACTACCACACGGCCCTGGCCCTGTGTGACGGCGCCGGCGAGTGCCCTCTCGGCGGGCTGGGCCTCGCCGCCCTCCCTGACCCCGCAGTGGCCGAGGCAGAGCTCCCGCTGCAGCAGGTCTTCCTCGGGGCCCCCGCCAGTCCACGGCCCCGCACCCCACGCTGCCGCAGGAGCCCGAGGAGCGCAGGAGGCTGGGTGAGGCGGGGGTGCGTGGCCGGTCGGGGAGGCCCAAGCAGGGCCGGGCAGCGCGGGAGCCACGAGGATGCCCACGTGACGCCGCGTCCCCGCAGGCAAGGCCCACCTGCGGCGCGCAGTCCTGGGCCAGGAGGAGGCCTGTCGGCTGCACGCCGCGGGCCGGGCCCTGCGCAGGGTGGACCCGCTGCAGGCCGTGCTGGCCCAGGCGCTGCGGCGCGCACTGACCAAGCACGCAGAGTTGGACCGCGAGGACGACTTCTCAGAGGCCCCCGAAGCCCCCGACATCCAGCGTGAGCAGCTGCGGCGCGCCCCACCCAGGCACTCCCCTCCCCCCAAGCCCCCCCTCCCGCGGACTGCGCCCCTCGGGGCTCTGGGGGCAGAGCAGGCCCAGCCCTGCCCTCCGTCACCTTCTCGCTTTCAGCAAAAACCCACCAGAGGCCGGCGGTCAGGACCCCCAGCTTCTCCCAGGCAAAGGCGGCCGACATCTTCCACCGGCTGGTGGGCGACCCCCCCCCAGCCTCCCCCCAGCCTGCTGCCCCCTCAGCTCAGCTGAGCCCCCCCTCCCACCAAGCCCATGTGTACCCCACAATGGCTTCTGTCCCGGGACGCAGACTGACCTGACGGGGGGAGAGGGGGTGTTATTCCCAGTGCTGCAGCCCAGCCAGGCCTCTGACCTCTGACCTCTGGCCTCTTCCCAGGGGCCGCTCTCCCTGTTCTCAGCCAAGAACCGGTGGCGGCTGGTGGGGCCCGTCCACGTGGCTCGAGGGGAGGGCGGCTTTGGCTTCACCCTGCGGGGAGACGCCCCGGTGCTCATCGCGGCGGTTGCCCCCGGAGGCCCGGCTGCGGTACGCAAGCCCCCTGGCGGGCCAGGGCCACTGCGCGGCGGGGGCGGGGCCATGGCCAGGGTGGGGTGCCCCGGAGGACCTGTCCGTGTGTCCGCAGGTGGCCGGCCTGCAGCGGGGAGACTACATCGTGGCGCTGGATGGGCAGCCGTGCAAGTGGTGGAGACACGCGGAGGTGGTGGCCCGGCTGAGGGCCGCGGGCGCCGAGGGCGTGAGCCTGCAGGTGGCCACGCTGCTGTCCAGCGCCGAGCCGCCCTGCAGGGTGAGTCCCGCCCGGGCTGAGCTGCCCACAGGCCGCCTGCGCACCGTCCTCCGCAGCCCTGCCCACGGGGGAACCTGGCCCAGGTTGCAGCCCTCAGCCAGAGTGGCCAGCAGCAAGCTGGCAAGAGCGCCCCTCTCCTCACCCCCTGGCCGGCCAGCAGCACTGACCACTCCCTCTCTCTGTCCAGCTGCAGGGGGACCGCCGGCCAGCCCTTGGGAGGCTCCTGAGGAGCCAGAAGGGGTGCACCTGGGCCCCGCCCACACCTGCACAACCCGGCACTGGGCCCCTGCTCGGCTGGGGCCACAAGGCCAGGAGGGGCAAGAGCCAGGAGAGGGGTCCCCTGCCCCACAGCCCGAGTGGGGGCTCCCCTGGGGCCCCCCACACCAGGGCCCCATGTGCTCCGGAGGCTAGGATTGGGCCCCCGTGCTCTGCCTGACCCGGAGGACCCCAGGCCGCCTTGCCGCCCGCCCAGGGCCGTGGGGGTGCCTCTGGGCCACTGCCGCACGGGGGTCCCCCTCACCCCCGACACACGGCTGAGACTCCAGACCAGGTGGCTGGTCCCTGCAGGGGCAGCTCCTGGTTTGGGGAGCGCCCGGGCCGTCAGCCTAGCGGGGAGGGGCTGGGGACCCGGGTCCCTGCAGCAGGCTCTGAGGCCCTTCAGCTGGGGCGCCCCCTCCCTCCCGAGATGCACCTGCTGTCCACACCCTGCCCCAGGACCGGCGCTGCCCCCGCAGGCCTCTGCCGGCTAGCGCGGCCCGCCGCCCCAGGGGGCCCAGCGCCCTGCTCGCTGGGGGACCCGCCGGGCCCAGCCGGGCCGCTCGCCGGCCCCTCCCCGCCCCACACGCCCGCGTGGGGGCACCGGCGCGCCCGCCCTGGAGTCCCCTCGGCGCCGCCCGGCCGGGCGAGAGCGCCCCGACTCCGCCGCGGCTGCCGCGTGCCCGGAGGGGAGCGGGGGGGCGCGCCCGGGCGGGGAGCGTGGGGGGGGGGTCGGCCGCGCTGGGTCCCGCGGCCTCGAGCCCAGCCAGGGGGCAGCCGCCGGCCGCTGAGCGCGGCGGGCGGGTCCTCGGGCGGGCGCGGGAGGGGCGGGCCGGGCGGGAAGAGCCAGGAAGGCCCCGTGGGGCCGAGTCCCCCGCGCTCTGGGGCGTCGGCCCCGCCCCGCCCGCGGGGTCCCCCAGCAGAGCCGCCCGCGGGACCCGCCCCTCCTGCCACCTCCCTCCTGCTTTCCGGGGTGGGCCCTGGAGTCGGGGTGCAGGGGGTGCGGGACCACTTGGGCAGAGTGCACCCTTCCCCAAGTGGGCGCCCCACCCAGCGCTGCCTCGGAGCCGGGGAGGCCAGGTGGGCGCCCCGCTCCCAGGATGCCGCTCCGCAGAGCCCGCCAAGGTCACCTGGCGCTCTAACCTGGTCAATAAAAGTGCATCAGAAAGGCCAGCACCTGCTCACCCGCCCACAGGGGCCGTCTGTGGGGGGCCACGGCGCCCCGCACCTGCCGCCGGCTCCCGTGCGTTGGGGGACAGGCGCCGTCTCCGTTAGCTGGGGGGCTCCCCAAAGACGGCGCCTCCCGCTGCAGCCCCAGCCCCCAGGGCCCTGCAACCCGGCGCTGTCCTGTCCCCGCCCACCAGCCCCCCACTGCCGCGCCAGCGCGCTGGAAGCCCCGCGCCCCACGCCCGTGTCGGGAGCCCCACAGCGGCGTTCTCGCGACGGCCTGTGAAGTGGGGTCACGGGCACGCGGGGCGCATCAAAGCAGGCAGCCACAGTGGGGTCGGGGCTCCCCAGAGATGCGAGCTGGGCTCTGGCCCAGGGGCAGGGCGGGTCGGCGGGGCGCCCCCTCTCCGGCCGGGGAGAAGGCGCAGAGCGAGGGCCTGGGCGCGGCCGCTGTCCCCGCCCGCCCGGGAGGCCGACGTGGCAGCGGCCAGTCTAGACCCTGTGCCCGGGCGCCCCGGCCGCGACGCCGCGGAGAGGCCCCAACCCTGTGCGGCGGGCAGCGCGGGGCGGGGATAGGGGCGGCTCTCCGGGGGCCCCGCGGTGAGGCTGGGCGGGCGGGGGGCGCGCGGGGCCGACACCAGCTGCCCGAGCGGAGGGCCTGGCGAGGAGGGGCCGCGGCAGCGCGCCCGGGGTCAGCCAGCGCGGGGCTTTCTGCTTCTCCAGCAAAACCGCGCGGGGAGCGGGGCGCTTTCGCCTCGGTCAGCAGCGCCAGATGCTGACGGAGCCCAGCGCCGGGCGTGGGGGGCGGCCCTCGGGCCCCCTGCCGCCTCCCAACTCTCTCCTCGTGCTCCCTCCCCGCACCCCCCTCACCCCACCCGGCCCCTCCTGACAGCCTGAGTCTCCCCTGTTCTCCACAGCCACCCAACCCCCCACGCGTGGACCCCGGCCCCTGGGCAGCAGGGGCGCCGGGCCCACCATCAGAGAGGGGCTGGCAGCAGCGGGGGTACAGGGGAGGCCCGACAGGGGGCCTGGCCGCGCGGCAGGGCAGCCTGCAGACCGGAGTTCAGGCTGCCGGGCCTCAGAATCTGGAGGACGGGCATTCAAGACCCGGGGGTGCCTGCCCTGAGCAGCCGGGACTCGCCACTGGCCGAGGACCTGCCCCTTTGAGGCCCGGGGTGGCTGGCGTGGGCGCGGCACCCCGCTGTCCCAGCAGCGCTGACCCCGGAGGCCGGGGCAGCAGGGCCGGTCCTCAGTCCCCGCCAGGCGGCCGGGCTCCCAGGCCGGGGTAGAGGGCGCCCCCCGAGAGGCCCGTCCTGCCCGCCCGACTGGTGGGCTCCCCTCCCGGCTGTGGCGGGCCTCCGTGGGCCGCTGCCGCCTGCAGATCCAGCAGGGGCCGTGGGGGAGGCCGGGGAATCCGGATTCCAACCCGAGATCCGTAATTTAAGGGTCTGCAAAGACCCTTTTTCCAAACCAGGGCAGTTCCCAGATGGACTTATCTCGGGGGCCACCACGGAGACCCCAGGCCTTCCCCCAGGTTCAGCGGAGGGTCTTGCTGAGGCCCTGCCTGGGGAGGTGCGCCCGCCCCCCCGCCCCGCGTCTGCTCTCCGGGCGTGGCTCTGGGGACCGGGCTCCTCCCAGGGGCTCAGAACCGCTTCTCCCGCCTAGCAGGGCCCCCCACACACCCCCAGGGCCTCCCGGGGGGGGCACCTCACCTCCACTCTCACTAGCCCGGTGCCCACACTCAGCTGGGGCCGGTGCCCCGTGGGGTGGGGGTCGGCATGATGCAGCGGCCTGGGAGCCGCTGGGTCCCGGGAGGGGCGGGGGTGTGGTCCGCTGCTGTGGACGCTTCCAGCCCGGAGGCTCGGGGGAGACCGAGGCTGATGGGGCCCGGACGGGGCGTCCCTGGGGCTGGGACCACCAGGCCCAGGGGTGCTGGGAGCCTGCGCAGAGCAGCGTCCGGCCCAGCCGCGCGCCTCTTGGGCAGCCCGTCCTTGTGTCCACCCGGCATGCCCGGAGGCCCGGGGCGGGCCTGACCTTCACCCCGGGGGCTCAGCAAGCCTGCGCGGGTCAGGAAGTGAGGGGAGGTGCCCGGCCGGGGAGGGGCTGCCCAAGGCCCAATGGCACCTCCGGGGCTCCGAGACCAAGGGCAGGGGCATGCAGAGTGGGCAGTGGGGGACCGGAGGGCTGCCCCCAGCCAGAACGGGCAGGCGGAGGGGCTGCTGGGCAGCGGGGAGTGGAGGTGGCGGGAGGGGCCGTGGCCCCCAGGAGAGGCCGCCCAGCAGGTGGGGGTGGCCGCGCGGCCCCGAGGGCAGTCACAGGCTGCAGGGGGTTGAGGGTTGGCCCCTGTGCAGGACCAGGGGGCTCCGGGAGCTGCCGGGAGCCACCTTCAGGGCCCCTGGGGGCCGCAGTCTGGGGGAGCCCATCCCCTCCAGAAGGACGCCCGGCCCTGCTGGGGCCTGGGGGCTGCTCTGCAGACCCTGGAGTTGCCCCAAGGGCAGGTCCCCGCGAGTCCCACTGGGTCAGCCCTCCCAGGGGTGCCCCTGCCTGACCGAGAGAGGTTTAGCCGCCCCCTTGTGGGGTGGACCTCACTGCCTGCCTCAGTGTCCCCCGCCTGCCCGGGCACCGGCTGTCCTCTGCGGACCCCAGGGAGGCCGGCGGCAGGGTGGCCCGTGCGGAACGCGGCGTCTCCCCGGACGCCCGGGGGGCGCGGGCCCCTCGCTGCCCCAGCCCCCCGCAGGCGCACCGGATGTGCATGAAGGCCAGAGTGACCGATCGAGCTGTCAGGGGGAGCGTTTTAAGGCAGAATTATAGGGGAGAGGAAAAGGATTTTTACCAAATTAATGAAAAATCAATCTGGCCTCAAAAACCCATTAGCCCGCAGGGCGCGGCGGCTCCACCACCCGCCAGCGGCGCTCAACACCGCGGCCCGCCCGCCGGCACCCGTGGGGCTCACGGCCGCCGCTCGGGCTCCTGACCCGGGGCGCTGGGCCCCGCCGCGGAGGGGCCCCCAACACCGCCTCGCCCTCCCCGAGGACCCCGCTCGGCAGGCGGCCCAGCCCCCCCTCACCCCGGGGCCCGGGCATGGCGCTAGCGCGGGTGGGAGGGGAGCCGGCCCTCCCCTGAGGGAGCCCCGCGGGAGGGAGCCCCTGGCGGGGTCCTCCGCCTGCGACCAGGGGTGTGACGGCCCCTGCTGGAGCGGGCACGGCCCCTGCTCTCCGCGCTCCGGGCCCTGCTGCCGCCAGACAGGCGCGGGCGCGGCGGGCTGGGCTCTCATGGGTCAAACCCCAACTCATTAGCGGTGCAGGCGGGGGCAGGGCGGAAGCCGTGTCTGCGGTTTTGGGGTGGCCTGGCTGCCTGGCTCCAGGGACTTCCGGCCCCCACTCTGCAGACCTGCTCTGGAGATCCATCCGGTAGACGCGCCGGCGAGAGACGCGGCGGGGGAAGACGGCGGGGCGAGGGGGCGCCCCAAGGCGGCCTGGCCTTGCTGCCGACAGGCACCCGGGCAGCGGTGGCCCCAGCACAGCCACGCCTGTCCCCTGTCCCCACTCCCCGCCCTCCTCTGAGCCGGCCTCCCTGCTGCCCACGCCACCAGCGTCCCTGGCTCCTGCTCCCACCAGGCCTGCGTCTCACGTGCCTTTCAGGCATTCTTGGGGTCGGCTTGCGGGGGTCCGGGTGAGGTCTGGGGCGCTCCGGGCCGGCGGTGCAGGAGGGAGCAGGCTTCTCTGGTCAGCAGGCTCCTTGGAACCGGTGGTGGCACCTGCTGGGGTCAGAGGCCACAGCCTGGTCCCGCCTCCTCTGCCCCGGGGGAGCTCAAGTCAGTACCAGGAGCAGCCTGCCTGCCCCCTGGAGGTGACAGGGACCCCTGGTGCCGCCCCCCACACACACACCTGCCAGGCCGGGCCCTTGAGGTGGACGGCACAGCCTGAGCCTGCCTGAGCCCGCAGCCCTGCCGAGCTAGCCTGCCCACCCGCCTGCCTGGCCCTAGCTGCCAGGACAGGTGCTGGCTGACCCGCCCCGCCCCCAGGGCCAGCCACGCTGCCAACGCCCTGGCCACAGGTCCGTGCAGGGAGGCGCGACCGCTCGTGGCCAGCCTGGACAGACAGACTCGCTCCTGCCGTGGCCCCTCCCGAGCCCAGTAGGGTCAGGTGAGGACCAGCATGGTGGGGTGGCGCAGCTCCAGCCTGGGGCACCATATGCAAGACCCGGTGCCCTGGCAGGGTGGCAAGGGGCCCGCCAATGAGCTGACAGCCCTGCTGGCCAGCTAAGCCAGGAGCCCCCTCCCCAGACCCCCTGCCACTGTCC